TTCTACATTTTCAAAATCCAGATGTCATTGAGTTTAGTGAGGAAGGTGGGCCTTGAAGGCTGAGCTGTGGCAGGAACTTGACCTCCCAGTGTGAAAAGCCAAGCTGTGGATCCATAGAAAACACCAGGAGACTGTGCCTAGAGAGCCACCTCCACAGAGGTTGAGGAGATGCATTTCTGAATAAGCTTTAAGTCCTCCCAAACGCCACTGTGACATCCCCTGTCACAGCGCTGGCACCAGGCTAGAGCCCCTAGAGAGAGACGAACAGGGAGGTCCTGAGTACTGTGCTGGCCACCTATGGGTCTCACAGTGCTTGAGAGTCCACAGGCCAAGGTGCCCCTGTGCTTAGATGAACTCTGCCTAGGGTTGAGTAAAGAACCCAGGGTCTGAGGCCAGCTGCTCACTGGGGGCTGGGTCATAGCTGTGTCCAGGTTCTCTCAGCAAAACCCTCAGTCTGAAAACTCTGAGCTCTGAGGAAACAGTGCTAGACTGGAGGGTGGGGGGTACAAGTCCGGAGAGAGCCTGCCAGCCAGTAAATTATGTTCTCTAGACCAAGGAGTGCGGCAGAAAGAGGCTTGCCAGGGAGGCTCACTGTCAGTGGTCCCCAGAGCTGAGTCTCCAAACTGGCAAGGAAACCATCACACCCTGATTTTTATCAAGTGTAGCTTTTCCTTCCGTTAAGAATGCGAGCAGCTGGGGCGGGCGAGATGACTTAGTTGGTAAAGTGTGCGTCACAAGTGTGGGAAACAGGGTTTGGAACCCCAACCCATGTAAAAGCTGGGTGGGAGTAACAGCCCACCTTTAATTCCGTCGTTCAAAAGGTAGAAATGGGTGCCTCGTGCGCTCTAGCTTCATCTGACTCAGTGAATAAGGGGAGGAGTATTTAAGGAGGACTCCTGATGTCTGCCTCAGGCCTTTACAACACACACACACACACACATATGCACTTACACGAACACACATGCACACACACACACACACACACACACACACCACAGACGTGTGTTAAAGGATAAAAGGTTGTGGGGCAGCAGGTGTCCAACACGTGGGAGATAGAGATCAAAAGAGCAGGACCAAGGTCATCCTCACCCACACAGCAACCCTAGCCTACATCAGGTAAAACACGCGTCTCAAAACAAACAACAACAACAACAAAAATAACAAACTGAGCCTGGAGCTACTTGTCTGAATCCTAGTCCCCAAGGACTAGAATCTCTGTGAGCTCAAGGCCAGCTTGATCTAAAAAGCAAGTAAGTTTCAGGCCAGTGGGGGAAAAACAACCAACGAGCTACTGGGAGTGTTGGTGCATGCCTTAATCCTAGAGCTTTGGAAGCAGAGGCAGGAGGATTTCTGTGAGTTCAAGGACAGCCTGTTCCACATATTGAGTTCCAAGACAAACTGGGCCGAAAACCAAAAACAACCAACCACCCAAAGTCAAAAAAACCAAAGGAGCCAAAGCGGAATAGGCAAGAAATTTGCCTGTCAGAGGCACCTGCAACTTTGCCGCGGCTCAGGCCGTTTCACATCCCCCTCTGAGCGTCCCAGAAACCTCAAAATATCTCTGAGAATCGTTTCTCTAGAACCTGCTGCTAGACCTATGGCTAGCTCTTGTCATCGGATGCTGTAGTGAGCCACCATTTCTCCTCCAGACCATAGCTGCTTATTTCTGGGTAGCTGTGTTTCGACGTGATTGGCGCTGTCTAGAGTGCCTTGTGCTTCTTTTAAAAGCAGGGGGAGGTCTGAGTTCACAGCCCACAGAAGGTTAAGTGCGGGGAGTGGCAGCTGCCTAAGGGGAGGTTCTAAAAACAGGAGGCAGACTACATCCGTTTCCACATCCTTTTCAGAAGACACAAGCCTTTTGTTTCTCTTCTCTGTTGCCCTCTGGATCTGATCAAGAGTCAACCTGGAAAATAAGATGAAGCTGCCGTTCCTGCTGTCCCAGTCCCCAACATGCAGCATAGGGAGGGTAAGACCCTCTGAGGCCTGGACCAGGGGGCACTGGTCCCTGCGGTGTTTTCCAACCTCAGACCGGTCCATCTCCTGTGGAGAGCTGCCCTCCAAATGGTACAGATGAGTTTAGCAGGCTTTGATGAGACGGCCATACAGAGGTTTGATCAGTGTGAGTAAGCCAAGCACTCTGCTCCCACTTGAACGTCACAGGCTCCCCGTCTCTTAAGGTGTTTGGTTGGAAGCATCATCTCAGCTCCCTGGCCCCCCCTTTATCCAAGGAGTCTGGAATATTTGGTTGGAAGCTTTCCCCCAGCTCCTTGGCATTTCTATATACAAGGAGTCTGGAATGTTTGGTGGAAAAGTTTCAAGCCCACTCCCCTAGGAGTTACCCCAGTCCAGACTCCATCTCCAAGAAAGCCTACCAAATGGTGACCCCTCCCCAGGGAGGGTCAAGACCACTCCCACAGGCTATTTAAACTGCCCCCCAGAGAATGAACAGTTCTCCCCAGTTCTCCTTTCCCCTCTCCGTGTTTTCCCGGGAAAGGGGCACCCGGGAGTGCTGGCATCCATCAAACCTGGGCCTTTTTCTAATTCGGTCGGATTTGATCTGATTTGGATTATTGCATTGGCGGAGAGGCTTGTTGGACCAAAACAAGACTTAACATTTCAAACAGAAGGATCAGTGGGACTGAAGAGATGGCTCAGTGGGCGTGGGTGTCAGCCGTACAAGCCGTTGGGACCTGAGTTCTGATTCAGGCACCTATGTGAAAAAATTAACTGTGGCTGCATCCTGTTGGCCTGTACCCCAGTGCTGTGTGGAGACTGGGGTATTATTGGGACTTGCTGGCCTCTGGCCTAGCCCCAGAGTCAGGGAGAAACTGTATCTCAAGGAAATAAAGCCGAGAGTGACAGAATAGAACACCAGTGTCCTCCTCTAACCTCCAGGCACAAAAGCAACCTATAAGAATCTGTATATCCACTACACAAAAACAAAAAAAAAAAAAAAAAAAAAAGAAGCCCAATGTGTGGCGGCCCTTCCCTAGAACCCCAGGATTTAGAGACGTGAAGGAGGAATAACACTCAGGGTCACCCCAAACTACATAGCAAGTTGGAGGTTAACCTGGTCTGACGCATGTGATTCCACACTCAGCAACAAAAGGCTATTGTGGAGTCTAGCCACATGTCAGGGACACACTGACTCTTAGGACAACCTCGTGCCTTCTAGTGGGCCCTGAGTGATGGGAGGGTGGAGCCCTTGAGCCACCAGGAACGGGAGAGGTTGGGCCAGAGGCAGAGGCTTTGAGATTGACTCCTATCTGAGGTATGAAGGTAAGACTTAGCCCAAAGGCTCTCTTGCCGGGTTTCCTACACTGGATGCCTTTGCCTAGTAACCCCAAGAAGATCTGAAGGAGCAGCAGGGGCTGTAGGGAGACAACTGCAGTGTGAACAGCCCCCCACCCGGTTTCTTATTTGGCAAAGCTGATATTTACATAGGGGCAGAGTGAAGAGGAAGTATAGATCTGTCATTTTTTCCTCTAGAATCTAGAGTTGTAAAAGAACAAAAAGCCATTGGCCGGCAGAAGAGCAAACAACTATATCGCTGGTGGGGGAGTTAAAGATGTCACGCCTATACTCCTCACCACCTGGCAGCATCTCAGAGCAGCTCCTGAAGGCTGGTGGTCGCAGTGGCCACCATAACAGAACATTCACTGGATGGTGATAGGTGCACAGGCTTTTGTCACCCCAGTGACAGCGGGCAGGACCACCCCCACCCCAGTGATGGCTGGCAGGACCACCCCCACCCCAGTGACGGAGGGCAGGAATTGATTTCTTCACATGCCCTGCCCCCATGTGAGTTTAAATTCCCTTGTTTTTGGCCTGAGTGTGTCACACATTGGCACTGGGAGCCAAGGACAAGACTCTTCTGTGTTCAGGCTTTGCCGTAAGGGAGAGGCCCTGGAGGCTGTGGGCCTATGCAGCTAGTCAGAGGTCTGTGTGGGGATGAAGTCTTAGAAGGAGGGGAGTGGAAAGCTGGTCCCATGACAGTGTTCGTCCTATTTCTAAAATGCTATTGCATATTTTTTTGCTTATCCTAAAAATAAAGTGATTAGTGAAAAGTTCAAACTTTAAATCTGAAAGCTGACAATGGTGACATGTGCCCACAACATCCTGGTACTTGGGAAGCAGAGACAGGAGGATTGCCAAGTTTGAGGTCAGCCTAGTCTACAGTCTGCTGCCTGCAGGGTTCACAAGCAGCCCCAGCGCAGGGTCCCCCTCTGATTGTTTACCAGTGCTCTCCTTGGAAGAGGGCTTGGGAAACTTCCTGAACAGCAGTCCAGGCCCCAGCTGCCTCTGTTTTATGAGCTCACCCAAGGATGGACTATTTCAGCTCCCCAGGCAACAGCTCCATAGCACTGGGCCAGTGGCATTTCCCGCCAGCCTGCCTAGGCTTTCTATCAGCCCCTCCCACCCTCTGTGGTTGCTTAGGCAGGATGGGACTGAACTCGAATGTCAGCAGTGTTTGGTTAAAAGCATCACCTCAGCTCCCCAACACCCGTTTATACAAAGAGTCTGGAATGTTCGGTTGGGGGCTTCACCCCAGACCCCTGGCATCCATCTTCAAATGTTGGGCAGGAAAACTCCATTCCAAGCCCTGGGAGTGGCCGCAGTCCAGACTCCGCCTCCAAGGCAGCCCACCAAACAGTGACCCCCCTCCCCAGGGAAGGTCAAGACCATTCCCCATTCCCCATTCCCACAGGCTACTTTTTTAATATTTATTTAGTTATTATGTATGCAATATTCTTTCTGCATGTATGCCTGCAGGCCAGAAGAGGGCACCAGACCTCATTACAGATGGTTGTGAGCCACCATGTGGTTGCTGGGAATTGAACTCAGGACCTTTGGAAGAGCAGGCAATGCTCTTAACCGCTGAGCCATCTCTCCAGTCCTCCCACAGGCTATTTAAACTGCCCTCCTCCACAGGGGATCGAACTCGTGGTCTCCCAGTTTTCCTGTGGTATTTTGGTTCTCTGTGTTTTGGGGTGGTGGTGGTCATGGTGGTGGTGGCGGGAGACACCTGGGAGTGTTGCCATCCCTTAAACCTGGGTGTCTTCTAATTCGGTCTGATCTGGTTTGATCAGATCAAACCATTATTGCATGGTGGAGAGGTTTATCAGCTAAGGAAAAATACGTAACAAGCAAGGTCTGGTTTCATAAGCCTTAGCACATTCTGCAAACGTGATCCAGTCCCTTCCTCAGGGTGCAGGGGAGCTGCACATCCATGAGACATTCTCAGGCTTGAGGTCTCCGCTGACATGGAGGACTCATACATGCAAGTCCAGCTACATACAATACTTGACACACATACTTGAGCTTCTTACTTCAGTTGCAGATTCTTCAGAAAACAGCTGTCACCTTGGCCTCTCTGAATCTTCCAGCTAGCCCCTGAACATGTTCCTAGCCCCAGTTATCCAGCTGGGAGTAGCTGCCTCAGGGCTGTGAGAACTTCACATTTACTTAATGATTTGGGCGAAAGGGATAAGGCAGCGATTGTTAATCAAAGAGTTCAAAAGGACAAATCAGGAGCCAACAAGCTGGAGAGCTAGTTTAGGTCTTTGGTGCCAGATCCACCCCCTCCCCCAGGCCACACCCTGTTGATTCTCTGTTTCTGCTTGGCTTCCTTCCTGTCTTGCTCTCTACAAGGATGAAGTCGGTAAAGAGTTAAAGGTGAAAAAAAAAAAAGGAGGGTTTTTCATTCACGGAAGAGAACAGTTCAAACTGGAAAACAGAAGGTCGCCATGTGGGAAGGGCCACAGGAGTGGGAGAGTAGAAGCTCTGGGCTCTTGGGAGTCCCAACAGTCAAAGAACTGGACAGCGCTATAGTTCGAAGCGCTCAGGAGACCTGGGGATGCAACCGAGAGAATAGTCCTTGAAGAACAAGTCCGGCGAGCAGGAGTGGGTCCCCTATCTGCAGCTGGAATGACAGATCTCAGGCCGGTCTGTTTCTAGTGGGTCTTTCCATTTTCCTTGTCTAATGAGAGGGCCATCAAGGTCTGAAAATCAGAGAATCCCCGCTCTCCCCATCTGGCTAAAGTCTGAGCCTGTCCACGAGCCAGAGTAACCAATGTGCTTGCACTGTCCATGGGTTCATAAAAGTTCTAAGGTCTCTGGTTGGTTAGATCTGTGTATGCAAACAAAAGGGAAGAAGAATACGGACCAATCAGGAAAGAACTTGTCAGCCTCTAGAAAAGCGAAAGTCATTTATAATTGGGGTGGATTCTCAAACAGAACAATAGCTTTATGTCCCTTGGTGATGTGGCAGTTACAGGGATGTGGGCATTTGGCTGTCGAGCCTAGGGGTGGATATAAAGCAACAGTGTGCATCCGGGATTTTTGCACCTGTTCCTGACCAGTCAGAGACTTTCTTGCTTCCTTCTAGAGGCTATCCTACTGTGGCCACTGGCTGTGATTGCTTTTGGAGATTCCTCCTACTCCATCTCACACCTTGAGACAGCCGATTCTCCAACCAGGTCCTAGCCTGGCCCTTACTTCAACAATGGCGTGGCTGGCAGTGAAAGGGAAACGGGAAGGGGAACCTTTTGATTGCTGCATAGGAAGAGTTTAAACAGGAGCCTGAGGTCTCAAGCAGGAGAGTGGATACAGAGTATCAACCAATAGAGAGAGGTTGGTAGTGTTCTCAGCTGGCTTCAAGATGCCCAGCCAAGGACAGCTCCTAAGAGCCAGTGTGCAGGTCTGCAGAGAGTAGAGTATGAGTTTCCCATCTCTGCAGGTCCCAAAGACTGGGCAATCCGTCCATTCTTGCAGTGGACACTATAGATCTTGGCTTTTTCATGGGACCTTTCTCTGGAAAGTCTTCAACATCTATTTATTTGTTTGTTTTTAATTTTTATATGTTATATGCGTAGCTGTTTTTGACCACATACATGCCTCGTGCCCTTGGAGGCCAGAAGAGGTTGTTGGAACCCCTAGGTTTAGAGTTACAGATTGTTGTGAGCTGCCATGAGGGTGCTGGAAGCTGAACCCAGGTCCTATGTAGAGCTGCTGATGGCCTTAACTGCTGAGCCATCTCTCACGCCCGTCCAGTAAGTCTTGCGTCTTCTTCCTTCCCAGAGTACCTAAACAGCCTCGCCCCCACCTTTAGCTACCTGAACTGTGAAAAGCCTTTGAGCAACCTGTTATACAGAGCCAGATGAGCCCTGATTGGCTGTATGTATACACAGAGGTGCAGACTGGAACCAATCAGGAAACAGCTTTCAAACCTGGAAGGGAGAGGTCTCATTTGAGGCAGATGCTCTGTTACCCTTCCTGCCACAGGTCGAAGAGAAGTGGGCAATGAGCCATGGGAGGGTCTCACAAGACAGGCCACCCTTTCCGTCTGCTGCAGTGGTGATCTGGTCACTTTGGCACTCTGGGCTGCCATGATCTCCATCTGGAGCAGTCCTGTTGTCACTGCTCGTTCCAGTAGGATCTTCATTGGGCATCTGACCTCTGACAGTGGTTGCCAGCTGCCACGCAAGTCTGTCCCTGGATGCAGTTGCCTGTAGGGTCTATCTGTCTGCTTTTTTTTCATTTCTGGCTGCCACTTTGATGATAGATGATCCCCTCCTACCCGTACGGATGTCACTCCATTCTCCAGTGCTCTTGGGATGCTTTGATAGGCATCTTGAAATGTGTTGCCTGTGGCAGCCAGCCTCCAAGATGTGCCCCCCACCATGATCCTGGTCTTCTAGTGTCCACACTCTGAGTTATTCCAGGATTTGCCTGTGTGAACAACAAAATTTGCCAAAAAGGCTGTGCCTTTGTCTTTCCACTGCTGTAGCAAATAGCAGAAACTGGGTAGCTGATAAAGAGTGGGGGTTACTTAGCTCACAGTGCTGAAGGCATGGCACCGGCCTGGAACAGACTCTGGTGAGGACCCTTCACTACATCATAACACGGCAGAACGTAGTACATCAAGCATGCCACCTTGGGTCTTTCTTCTTTTCATAAAACTATTAATGCCATTGTGGGGGCCTACTCTCATGACCTTTTCTAAACCCAATGGTTATGCCCAGTCTGTTTGGACCCCAAAAGACCACCAGGGAGACCTGTAGAAGGAGCAGCTGGCTAGCTTTACCTGAAATAATTACACAGAAACTGTATTCATTTAAACACTGCCTGGACCATTATCTACAGCCTCTTATGGACTAATTCTCACATCTTGATTAACCCATTTCTAATAATCTGTGTAGCACCACGAGGTGATGGCTTACCAGGAAAGATTCAGCATGTCTGATCTGGCGGCTGGTTCCATGGCGTTTGCTTCACTTCCCTTCTTCCCAGCATTCTGTTCTGTCTACTCCACCCACCTATGTTCTGACCTATCAGGCCAAGCAGTTTCTTTATTAATTAACCAATGAAAGCAACACATAGAAAGAAGATCCACCTACATCAGAGACCGACTCACCAAAATGCAAAAGCCAGCAGAGACCTTGTCAGCACCGCAGCAGCAAGAGGAGGTAGATACCCTGCCCTTCTAGAAGGCATTATTTAAAGGCAAAACTTAGAAAAGTTACATTAGCAGAGTGTGGGGTGACGGGTTCAATCCTGATTGGCTCTTGTCCAGGGACTTTTCAGAAATTTTGTTTTCAAACCTCCTCTGTTGCTTATCAAGTTTTCTTATCGGCTGACCTTCGGGTGGGAACATTCTGCTGTTATCTGTACTTTCCAGATGGCTACCCTGTTACTCTTGCCCCTAGTCATTTCTGAGGACTGAATGTTTTACAGGAAATAGCTTACAGAAGACAGAAGATGGAGGCAGAGAACAAAACGGAGGAACTTTGGTTCTTCACTAGTTTCCTCCCTGTCTTAGTCAGGGTTTCTCTTGCTGTGAAGAGACATCATGACCATGGCAACTCCTACAAAGGTAAACGTCTAATTGAGGTGGCAGCTTATAGTTCAGAGGTTCAGTCCATTATCATCATGGTGGGACAGGGCAGAGTGCAGGCAGACATGGTGCTGGAGCTGAGAGTGCTACATCTTGCAGGCAACAGGAAGTGGTCTGAGACATTGGGCATGGCTTGAGCATAGAAAACTTCAAAGCCCACCTCCACAATGACACACTTCCTCCAAGACTACACCTACTCCAACAAAGCCACATCTCCTAATAGTGCCACTTCCTTTGGGGGTCATTTTCTTTCAAACCACCTCACTCCCTAAGGCCCCATCTGTAAATGCCATTAGCAGCATGTGACTTTGCAGAGTAAATTTTCAGTACATAAGCTACCGGTGACAAGTATTCAAACAGTAGTTTTGAGCTAGAACACACCATTTCCAAGATTAGGTCAAGGTTACTGAATTCTAAAAGATTTGAGTTTTGGTGTGTGTTCGTGCATGCACGCATGTGTATGTGTGTGTGTGTGTGTGTGTGTGTGTGTGTGTGTGTATAGTTTTCTCTTGATAATTTGCTTTGGGGGACTGGATAGAGGGCCGTGACTGCAGCCGTACAAGAGGCCATAGGTTGAAGAACTGACTGAGCTTAGAAGCATGCAGTTCACCTCCGGGCCTGAGTAGACAGATGCTTCCCAGATCTCTGGGCAGAATGGCCACTCCAGCCACCCCAAGAGCCCTGACCCCAGACACTGTGTGATGTGCTGTCTATTGCTATAAGCTGCTAAGTGGTTTGTTTTGTAGCAAGAGCATGAGTTCCTGCCTTGCCACAGGACATGTAAACTGGATACAGGTTGCCTTTCTCTTGGCCTTGCAGAGCTGCGGGAACACTTGTCTTTTGGAAAAGTCGCTGTCATATCGGTGGAAACCTTGTGAGGTCATGAGTCTTCCCTTCAAAATGGGATTTATTTCCAAAACACCTCAGTAGTGTGACTTCTGCAAGGGCAACAGAGCGACCTTGCTCCATTCCCCCACACCACAAGGTCTTGCAGTGACAATATTCATCCTTTGTTCTAACAGTCAAATTTGCATAGAGTCAGTCCTACTAAATTACTTGCTAACAAACCACATAGAAATTTCTATAGAAGACAGGCACTGAGCAGGAAGGCAGCATGCCCCACCTTTGCTAACAAACAAATCTGGGCATCCCCAAAGCTGATTATTACCAAAGAGATTGGATGAGGAGAATGGGTGAATCCAGGACTCGGGGATGTTTAGTAGCTTTATCTAATGGGTTGGAATGTCAGGCATCGTCCCTTGGATGTTGGCTCTTCCCTGGGTCGGGTCACCTGTTCTGTAGTGCAGCTTTGTCAGGTTCTACCTGCCCATTTTGTGATTTTGATATGCATATTATCATTGTCCTTGCTTATGGAATTTTCCAACTTTCTGTAAAAACTAGAAATCTCATGGAGATCAGCTTTTATTATTCTCCTTGCTACATCTACTCCTTCCCCTTACTCTCCTTCTTTCTTCCCCTTATTTTTCTTATTCTCCTGAAAGACCCCCCAGAGTGGGAAGACTCTCACTCAAGTCTCGGGATAACACGACCCCCCCAGGAACTCACAAGAGACCGTCCTTGCTGCAATCATACGAGGTTTATTGACAGGACAGGAACCAGTGCACTGGGGCCGAAACTCATTTCCCATTCAGGGGTAGAGTTCAACCCCGAGTAGCTGGGAGAAGGAGTATTTAAGGGAAGAAACCATAACACAATAATCCAAAGAGGGTAGGGAGGTCATCATTGGAAAATTCCGAAAATACCAGTGATAATCACAAGGGAGGTAACTCCCTGTTTCTCAAGATTATTCTCAAGATTATAATCTAACTTTATGGTCAGCGAATTCCTGGAACAGAGTCACTGAACCGGCTAACCTAGATTTTTGGCTCTTCTCTTCCTGCTAGAGTTTTGGTTCTATTTTTCCTACTAGAGGGGTCTGGATTTATCTGGGTCTTTCACTCCGTGCCCCCTTCACTTCACTTTTTCTCCTAGCACGAAAAATAAAGAAGATGCAGAGGTAATGTGCCTCAGTTAATTTTTTTCTTTAGCCCTCAGATCCTTGCCTGCCACAGACATCCAGTTCTGAGCCCTGAGGGGTACTCAAGGCCCCTGATATTTAGAGGAGTCACCTTGCAGAAAGGACTCTGGCCAAGAACTCCTGTGCTTAGGGAAGGGTTTGATTCTATTTTATCACGTTTTATTTCTTATTTATTCATTCTGTGTGTACATGTCTGTGCTACTGTGTGCGTAAGAAGACAGGAGGACTGTGTGAAGCTGCTCCTCTTTCTTCCCCATGTGGACCAGGGCTCGAACCTAGATTGCAAGTCTTTTACGCACTAAGCCTTTTTGCCAGATTTTTTCCTTCCTTCTCTCCTCCCCCCGTTTTTACCTTCTGAGACAGTGTCTCAGGTAGCCCAGGCTGGCCTCACACTCATTATTAGCCAAGGATACCCTTGAGCTGCTAGTCCTCCTGCCCTTTTCTCCCAAGTGCTAGAACTCTTGAGTTCGAGCCCAGCCTGGTCTACAAGAATGAGTTCCAGGACAGGCTCCAAAGCTACAGAGAAAGCCTGTCTCAAAAAACAAACAAAAGAGAAAAAAAAGAAAGAAGAAAAGAAAAAAAGAAAGAAAGATAGCTATAGGTAGCCATTAGGGTTATAAGATCATGTTTGCATGTAGGGAGCAAAGAAATTCAGGGTCAACATTCTAAGTAAATCTCACTAGATTCCTTTGCCCTTTGTAGTTGACAGGGCTACCCCTGTGAGAGCCAGCCATGATCAGCTAAGTCTGGGCAGGTCATCCAAAGGAAATTTCTTTACTTCCAACTATTATCACCTGGGACTCTGGTCATCAATCAATTTAAGTGGAGTCTGGAGTCTTCAATAGTTTACCCTGAGACAATGCCTGGCAGGTCAAGATAGAAACACCTGCCAGCATTTCACCAGGACACCCTTAGACAAATGTCAGCCAATCAGGGGTTCTGAACCTCAGAGACCCCTCACCCCCACCTTTACTACTATAAAAACCCAATTCTAATTGAGCGCGGGGCTCTCCGGATATGCCAATACGTTGGACTTGTGGAGAGACCGAGTTTGCAAACTTGATTAAAATAAAGGCTCTTTGCTTTTACATATGGAACTCAATCTCCTTTGATGGCTTTTGTGGGGACCCACTGATTTGGGCATAATACCCCCAAGCCCTGGCTGTGCCCAGAGTAATGGATGTTCCTTGTTGTCTTTAGCTACCAGGGCCTGACTGTACCAGGTTTGGATGCATGTCCTTCTAACGTGTTGCCAGGTTTGGATGCATGTCCTTCTGATGTGTGGTGCACTGGGCAAAGTGCCTGGGAACATTTCGAAAGGGGGAAGCCAGTCGAGGTGGTGGTGGTGGGAGTGGACACATGATAGGCAATGAAAGAATCTGTAGGGTAATATGCCGCTTAATGATTTATTTATATAGTTAATTTTAGAGACAGGGGCTGACCTCAAACTCACTATGTCGCTGAAGGTGACCTTGAACTCCTGACCCTCCTGCTTCCTTTTTTTGAGTTCTGGATTTATAGGTGTGCTCCACCATGCCTGGTTTCACCAGGTGCTAGGGAGCTAACCCAGGACTCTGTGAATCTCGACGAGCACTCTGCCAACGGAGCTATGTCCTCAGTCCCACACCATCTCAGTCATCCAGAAACTGAATGTTCTCATCTTTTTTAGGGATGGGGGAATTAATTTTTCACTCATTGTTGAGTTTCAGCCATCTATCATCAATATGTGGTTTCCGAATCTTCTCACCAGAACTTCAGGGACTGACGTTGTCCTCTTAAGGAGTGTCTGCCCTGACAGGCATCAGCCAGAGCTTGGTATAGGGTGCCTCAGTGATAGTCACTGTTCTCATTTGTACCCAACAATTTAATTCTAGCCCTCTCAGGCTGTACAGAGTCTCATCGTCCAGCAGAAGTCTGAGGAGTTGGTGCCTGGAGGTCTGAGAATTCATACAGGCATGTTGTTAAACAACAGGATGAACTAGGATTCTCCAGGCATAGCTAAATCAGCTGAGTCAAACCCGGGGAATGTGTGGTAGGAATCCAAGGTGCTCCAGGGGAGAGATACAAGTCAGACAGGAGCCAGACTGAGGCCAAGCCTTTCTTCTCTCTCTCTCTCTCTCTCTCTCTCTCTCTCTCTCTCTCTCTCTCCCTCTTTCTTTCCCTGCCCCCGGATGATTTACTGCAACCACTCCTAGCCTTGACTGCTCTATGTAGTTGAAATGCTCTTTGAACTTCTGACCTTCACACCTTTATGTCTCGACTCCTGGGATTACCCTATGAGCCACGAGTTACACTAAACAGCCAGAAAAGGCCTTTCAAAAATTTTTGACACTGGGGTG